CGGCTCTATGCCTCAACTAATTGATTTGATTAATTCAATCACTAATTTATCTTATACAAAAATTAGTGGGTGCATATCTCATGTATGCATGTATAATTATATTAATTTGTATAATTAATTTTTATTTTTATCTATAAAAAATTAACTGTTTATTTTTAATTAATTTTTTAAGCCACTTAGACGGTCCATCCTTATTGATACCATTGTGGAAATCGTACATAAAAAAATTTATTATCTTTAAATCAATCAAATCATGGTATATTCTACAAAATTAATTTATTATATCAAATTTATTTTTTTAAAAAAACTAAATTATTGAAATTAAAATTATAATACTCGTAATTATATTGCTTCAAAAATCAAATTTTATATTAGAAACTATAGATATATAATTAGATAATTAATATTAAAATTAATTAACATAAGTAAAAAAAAAAAAAAAGAAATTAAAACAGAACCTAATGCTGTATACAAATATTACAGGTACAAAGAATATGCTCGGTAATGCAGGGAATATCCTGAATTAGGTAAAATTTATTTCATGAATTTGACAAAAATTATATTTAAATTATTTTTCTTTAAGACTACTTTAAATCATCAATCAAGAATCTCTAATAGTATTTATAATAAATTTAATATAAAGGTATTTAAATAAAAAATAAATTATAACGTATTTAAATAAATTTAATTTTAACAAGTTATAATGTACACGAACGAAAAACAATTTAATTATAATTTATATAAATTTATCTAAATAAAATAATTAAAAAATAAAAATAATAATTTATTATATTTCATAATGTTTCCACTTGGGTAGGTTTAATTAATTAAATGGTCATCCATATATATGTGTATATAATATATAATAAGATATAAATTGACCTTTCCTGGTATTTGTATGTTCTCAACCAAACAAGATATTAATTACATGGACGATCATAAAATGCCACGTGATGTACGTTATGCAACATGAAATAATATTATTTTAATTTAAATAAAATTGTGAATATAATTTCTCTATCAATACATTAAATCTCGTTAATAAAAAAATAATAATTAGTGAATTAAAAAATAATTAATCACTAATAAAAAGGCGTTATTTTAGTAGTTAATGAATTTTTATTAAATAATTTACAAGATAATATTAAGTAATAAAATAAATAATTATACATATAATATTTTTATTATAAAATTAACGATTGGATTTCGAATTATATTCAAACTCTCGTCTGAGAATATTTTCAACGTGCCGTATGATTCGTAGTATATTAAATTATTCTGTGTGAAAGTCTTGATTTTTCGCTTTGTAAACTCCACCGGAAAACAACCCAAATCTCATCGGAGATTTCGATGCAAAAAAAGCAATTATACGTATGAATGCTTAACAAAAATCAGTTGATCACTACTGGAAGTATTAACAGAGTTGGTTCTTGATCTTTATTTTTCTCCTGGTTAATCCATGGCAGCAGCTGCTAGTTCAATTCTTGCCGGGAACCTAATCATTCCAAAAGAGAAAACCCCAAACGCAGGGTTTTTCTGCAACAAACAATGGAGTTTCTGTAAAAAGAGCGCAATGAAGCTAGAGCTAACCAAAATGAGAGCAGCGGCAACTGAGATAAGCGCGGAGGAGGTGAAGGGCTTGGAAGGTAAGTTGGGGTTGGATGCAGTGTCTGAGGGGGAGCTGAGGGAGAAAGGGTTTTTGGGAATGAGGAAGACGAAGCTGGTGTGCACCATTGGGCCTGCGTGTTGCTCGGAGGAGGAATTGGAGAAGTTGGCCAAGGGAGGCATGAATGTGGCTAGGTTAAATATGTGTCACAGCACAAAGGAATGGCACCGGGACGTTATTAGGAAGATCAAGAAGTTGAATGCGGAGAAAGGATTTTGCATTTCGGTGATGATTGACACTGAAGGTAGTCAGATTCATGTACTTGATCATGGTGCTTCATCTTCTATCAAAATTGAGGTGATTTAGCTATAAACGCTCTTATTTTCTTTTGCTTTTTCTACTCTCAATCGTTTGGAATAGGATTTATAGAACAAGAAACTCCATGAAATCAAGTGTACAGATCTTGTGTTTGTTTAAGGGCGATGTTGGAAATATAATGAAAATTTGATGGGTTTTCATCTTTTTCTCTTTTGAATAATTGTGTCATAAGGAAAGTTCAATTTGGCTATTTACTGCTCGAAAACTCAAGGGACCGTGTCCGTTCACAGTTCAAGCAAACTATGAAGGTTTTTCTGAAGGTGTGTTTCTGTTAAGCAATTGTTGATTGAGTGAAAGAAGTTGAGTTTGTTTACAGTGGCTAGAAATTTAGAGGTGGTTTTGTTTTCTATATTGATTAAACTGAAATGTTTTCAGGTATTGAGGTTGGGGATGAACTTGTGATTGATGGTGGGATGGCAAGCTTTGAAGTGATTGAAAAAATTGGGAATGATTTGCGTTGCAAGTGTACTGATCCCGGTATCTTCTTACCACGGGCTAAATTCAGCTTTTGGAGAAATGGGAAACTTGTAGAAAGGAATTATGAACTCCCTACTTTGTCAGTAAAGGTTAATTTCATTTGCTTGTTTCTTGCATTCAGAAATTGCATCTGATTTTAACAGCACGAAATCCTTTGCTTAAAGGGTTTGTTTCATTATCTCTAGTACATAAGGATAATGCTAGAGAATCTTGCATTTTACTAAACATTTTCCCCTGAAAGGAAAATGGGTCATTTCTGCAGAAGTTCTGAGTGCCGAGTTCATAACGTAACCCATCATGTATGTTTCTGTTGATGATCTGGAACAATGCTAACTATTAAGGAAACTCTTTATGATGTTCGTCAGTTGATGTCATCTGATTTGCAGGATTGGGCAGATATAGAGTTTGGAATTTCAGAAGGTGTAGATTTTATAGCCTTGTCATTTGTAAATGATGCTGATTCAATCAAGCATCTGAAGGACTACCTTTTGTCCAAATCAACCGAGTAAGTGGATATAACAGTTCATCTATTCTACTCACTTGAATAGTTTGATATATCAGTACTTAAAGGGACAATGCATTGCTTCTAACTGACCGAAATTTTCCTATGCTGCACATGGAGGCTAATATAAAGCCTTAAGTACTAATGTCATCCACTTTGATCATGACTCACTCGACTGCATTGTAGTAACTAAGGACTCTATGGAGCCCTTATTCTTCGTCCCTAGCTAGGTGGAAGTGCCTTAACAGTTAGGACTGTTATATTTCCCTTTATCCTGCAATTTACTGGCTCAAAACCACCGGGTCCATCTAACAACTTCTATCACGACTTTTTTTATGCTTTATGGGGTGGTTGATTTAAAGCATACTCCATCTGCTAGAGCGTAACTGTGTTCATGGACCTGAAACTCGAGAGTAAGTTGTTATATACCTAAGAGCTGAAAGGGGGTGTCAAACTGAGTGTCCAGTAAAAAGTTTATGTGATTGGACCCCTACAACTTTGGGTTTAACTAATCTTTTTGTGGTCGAGTGGGATGCTAAAAGTAAATTAAGTTGTAATGTTGGAATCTAAATGTAGACATGTCAATCACTGTCATTGCAGATCTATAAGAGTATTAGCCAAGCTTGAGAGCTTGGAATCTCTTCAGAAATTGGAAGAAATTGTGCGTGCATGCGATGGAATTATGGTTGCTCGGGGTGACCTTGGTGTAGAAATCCCACTTGAGCAGATTCCGACAGTTCAAGAGGAAATAACTTATGTTTGCAGGAAACTAAACAAGCCTGTTATTGTTGCTTCCCAACTTCTTGAGTCAATGGTTGAATACCCAACGCCAACAAGAGCAGAGGTATTTCTATACTATAATTATTACAGCTTTTAGCAAGGACATTGTCCATATGGCAGCACAGTGAGGAACTGGACTTCTGGAGGAGATGGAATCTTTTGTTTCAGTAACTATGTTATTTGATATGACCAGGTGGCAGATGTTTCTGAAGCAGTTCGGCAGTACGCGGATGCTCTTATGTTGTCTGGTGAGTCAGCAATTGGATCTTATGGACATAAGGCTCTCTCTGTTTTGCAAATGACCAGCAGTCGGATGGAACTGTGGAGCCGTGAGGAAAATTGTCAGCCTCTCTTTGATCAGTGTCAACTTGGTGAATCTCTGGCTGACCGCATTTCTGAGCAGATATGTAACTGTGCTGTTGAAATGGGTCAGTTCTGCTCTACATTCATTGATCACCTAAATCTCCAACTTTCGGAAACAACATATGTTGTGATATATTTTAATTTCACAAGCAAATAAGGACTTTTCATTCATAAGGTATTTTTGGGGTAGGATGCTAAAGACAACTATAATCTCCAAGAAAATTTGATATTGAATCCAGATTTAATTAATCTAGTAGGGTAGGTCACCTTAAACAAACTTCGTAATTCTCTTGACTTTTTGTGTCTTAATTTGCTTGCTTAATCTATCACATTGGACAAAAACATATCTGAATATCCAACCTGCAAATCTAAACTCAAAGTTTCCTCAAGTGTACTAGAAACTCTCTCATAAGCTCCTAGTACTCGAACATTTTCTTTCAGCAATTCCAAACAACTCATTTCCAACTAAGCATACATGTGACATAAGTTTGATCGGAAATGCAGCACATTTTTCTGTCAATAGAATGACTTGAAGGCCCAAAAGTATTTAAGCCTGCAAATGTTGTTCACTAATTTCCCGTTTGCTTTATTTGCAGCAAACAAGCTTGGTGTGGATGCCATTTTCGTGTACACCAAGCATGGACATATGGCATCACTCCTGTCCCGAAACCGCCCGTACCCTCCAATTTTCGCGTTTACTAACGAGAACAGCACTCGGATGGCCCTTAATTTGCAATGGGGAGTTATTCCCTTCTTCACTGGTTTGTCAAGCGACATGGAAGCTAACATCTCGAATTCCATCGATCTTATGAAATCAAAGGGGGTGGTGAAACAAGGAGATGCTGTCTTGGTGGTCTCAGATTTGACTCCGACTGATGCAACACCAAAAGCCTTCCAATCAATCCAGATAAAGACTATTATGTAAGAAGATGTACATACATATTTATTACGTGTATGTACGTGTTGAAGCTGAGAAGTGAAATTAGAGTCCAGGGAAGGAGAGAGTGCACAGCCTGATGAAGTATATTTTTATATATGGTTCTTGTTCTTGCTCTGCCGTAACTGCTCTTGTTGGTTTATTAGATTAGCCTTTAGGTGATTTTGGCTTCATTTGTCACTCGAAGAATATGCATTCGTTGCTTGCTAGTACTGTTGAAAACGTGTTCTATTCAAGTATTAAATGTAATATTAAATTATGTTATGTGGGTTTGAATTTTAATTACCTTATTTTCAATATTAAATTACAAGCTTAACTTCATGATTGCATTAGTTAAGCTTGATGCTAGAATGATAATGGTGAAAAAAGAAGCAGCAAAATGGTGTATAAGAACAAAATCTAACCTATTGCCACTCAGAATGATATATAACACACCATATATAACTCTTGCCCACTTGATTTTTTTGAATTCACTTCTATAACAAAGAATATATATATATATATATAATATTAAACGTGTTTTAAACGTGCGGAATATTTGAAAATTTTTGTCATGTTCTTGTAATTATTTTTTCTTTCTTAAGAAAAAAATATTTTAAAATTTAAAATTATTATAATTACCCTTCATTAAAAAATAATAAAATTATCAAAATTTAATATATTTTACTCGTTACAAATTTATAAACACATTAATAAAATAAAATTTTAATTTTTTAAATTTTTATAAAATTATAAATATTAATTAATTAATTAACGGGGTTTGATACTAATTAATTGTCTTAATTACAAATTAATTTTAATTTTCATGAGTTGAAAACATGGTGCGATAAGATCCTGAATCACGTGAGGCAGCAAATTACCTGTAAGCAGCAATTATTATAATAACAACAAAGTTCGAGAATAATATATTCGCCACCTTCTGCAGTGCATTTATTTATTTATTTATTTTTTAATTAATTATATCCAATCATATGCTTCTAAAAATTAAAAAATAAATAAAATATGAGCCACATAAATTATTTTTATATAATTTTCATTCTATATTTTTGTTTGTACTTATTCCATGGAATTTAATAATATTTATCCAAAATAACTTATTTCACCTGGCTCATATATTCTTGAATATTTAAATTTTTATTTAATTTAATATTAATATTATATTGGGTTATTAAGTTTATTATTTATTTTGTTTTATAAATAACCTTATAGAAATTATATAAAATAAATATAAAAATAGTTTAGGGTATTTTATGTAATTTTTTTTTTAAAGTAATGAGAGTTAGAGAAACGACGTCACGGCAATTATAGCCACACGAGCAGACGACTCTGCAAATTCCGGTACACGTTAGCAAGATATGTAGTTGTATGACTAAAATACGCCGAGACGGCGACAGTAATAGGTATCACCTCCACGTCTCTCCAAGGACCAAGTCCGCGAGTTAGTTTTCTGCTTGTTCTTGCTTCGAAGATACTTCGCTATCATTCTCCAACAAACTAAGAAGAAGAAAAAACTGAATCGTTCTTTGCCTTTATTTCTTTAAAAGGAAACTAAAGAATTTGATTTCGAGAATGAAAATTCTGAAATTTTGTTCTCACTAATGCCCCAGGAGGACGAAAATTAAACAGTAATAGTTAAAAGAAATGGTTCCTTTACAGGTTTTGAAGTCCACGGTTTGTCCTCTTTCTGTTTCGCAGTCCAATTTTCCCGGAAAATCGTCATTTATTTTCTCGGAATCGGATTCTAGGAAAAGGAATGTCGTGTTTAGAACTTGTGGCAACTCGAGGTACTCTGTCTCTACGAGGTTCGATAGGATTCGTTGCGCTGCTCAACAAGGTGATAATCAAGCTAATGGTAAGGAGTTATTTCTCTGTTAGTACGCCTTTTGCTTTGAATGTTGTAAGTATTTTCGTTTTCGGTACTTTATTAGTAGTCTCAGTTAATGGCTTGAAGTAAGCTGTGTACTACGAACGAAGTTGCTTTTAGTTTTGTATTAAAGGGTAACTTGCTATTTGTTAGAGGAAAAGTTTATAGGATGTTTTAGCTTTTAGGTCCGTAATAAATGCTCGATTTATTAGAGAATTGCTACTCAGGGACAGTGGAATTTGGAATCTGAAAGCATAAAACAGTGATAGCCTGTTAGGTTGATTGAATAGACCATATATGGGTAATAGTTACTACTATCTTTGGTTTGGGGGTTAACAAGCATTTAGACGGACTGCAATTCTTTCAAACAAGGAATGGCCATTCACTACGACTACCTCGTGAATTGGAATTTTAAAGACAATTTTACTCTTTCATATTCTCAAAATTACAACGTCTGGAACTGTAACACTGGAAGACAAACTCAAAAAGTCACCTCCCCACCACTATCACCAGATCTGGCTGTATGTTGGCCATTTCAAGTGGTAACAGACTGCAGTGTGACAGTCTTTGCCAAGTCAACCCATGATTTAAGGGAGATTTAGCTGGTTACAGTCGCAATGTCTCCCAATGAGTTGATAATGCATCTCAATGCCATAGGTTAGGTGACACTTGGGATGATTCCAAAGCTGCTGAAAACGATGTCTAAACACCTAATTAAACAGCAAAGCCAAGAGGATCACCTGTGCCAAACCAATCCTCAGAGATCCATGATTAAATTTTTTAAATAAATTTGATCTTGACAGATATCTTCATTTTCAAAAGCTTTTCATTTTTAAAGACTTATTTCAATTTCTTTTCATTAAAGAAGGTATTGAGCAGATGTTTAAGTTAATATCATGTCTAGTGCTATTTTAGTGTTTTAATAATGTACTTCACTGTTATTCATATTAACCAAACAATATAGTTGTCATTTTAAGAAGCAAACCAAATAATATAATGTAATTATATATCCTACAGCCATATTCCCCTCCCGCCAAATTGCAATTCCCCTCATTTCACATGGTAAATCAAGCACATGCTAACACGAAAAGGGATGAATGGAGAAATGGAAAAAATGAAAGATGAAATCTTGATTAGAGGATTTTATTTACTACTTTAATGTCAGCTAAAGCAACATGGAATTGTAATTCAAGGCTCAATACAGGAATAAGGAAATGTGAATAAAGTTAGGGACATTCCCAAAGTTAGTGTTTTCTGGTTTGCTCAAGGCCATTGTGTTATCGACTCTTGAATTTCGTAGTTAATTGTCCAATAGATATCTGGGCTTCGCATGATAACATATCTTCTGTTCACAAATTAGTTACTCCACCCTGAATTCTACTGTGATTGGTGATTATTTGATTTGATTTTTGAAAGTCAATTGGATGCTTCATTTTCTGGTTCTGCATTCCAGGTGAAGAACCTCCTGAGTCATTATTCATGAAGGAATTGAAGAGAAGGGGGATGACTCCCACTTCATTACTTGAAGATGCCAAAAGGAATACCTATGAAGTGGATGGTGGGACAAAAGTTGGGGAAGAAACTAGCAGTTTTCCCAAAAGAAATGCAGTGTCAACTGAATTTGATCCAAGTTTATCTAATCAGAGGGAGCGCTCGATGGCATTGAACAGCGAAGGCCTTGAGGTTGACATTTCTCTCCTCTACGAATTTAATAATTTTTAAGATCAAATATTTTTTTCTAAAAAACTTGGGGTTGAAAATATCATATGCTTTACTTCACAAAAACTGTAATGGTCCTTTTTTTGGCCATATTCCTTTCAGTCTTCATGATTTTCTTAAGTAATTATTTTTAAATTTAAGATTGAATAGTTGTATGTCATACTTAATGAGAAAAAAATTAAATACTAATCCATTAAAAGACTTAATAGTCATCTTTATGAAATGTCCATTTCATCCTCAGGAACTCAAAAAGCATAATATTCTTTAACAGATATTTTAACTATTCTTTACCTTTTTATGTTTACTCATATTTAGTCTTTAATTCAATATATTTGGCCAGTTAGCTGCCCAGTTATACAGTCTTTAACAAAAGCAAGATTCTTAAGAAACAAATAAACAAATTCCATGAAGTAGGGAGCACTTTCAAAATGTTAATTTAAATTTGCATTGTCCATCTATATTTTTAGGTATTCCCTTCCTTTTATAGACTTCTTGCTTCTTTGTATATTCTTTTGCGTAGTGGCACCATTTTGTTACTTTGAGCCCATTTTTGAGGGACTTACTATCCCGGGCATCCAAACTTGTGAAGGTGGGAGAGGTATCACTCGGCCCAAAAGCCAAGTGTGTTAGACTTCACAAGTAGTTGGTTTTACATTTGATCTCATACTTCTGTATCTTCAAAAATATTTATCCAGTAATGGAAATCTTTTTGCTTACCATGATAACATGATTAGTCACAGTTGTTAATTGCTTAAGTATTGTTGGGTCAGTTGATGCCTAGTCATTTTAATTTATAACTTGTTTACTCACAGTAGTTAATTGCCAGACTTTATTAGTGTGATTCATCTCTTTAGTTTACTTGGAGACATTCATATTTATTATATCTAAATTCAAAAACTGATCTTGAGAAAAATCTGAAATAATATTTTATTATCATTGGAATTGTATTGATATCAAATAATATGTTGTTACAAATTGTACTATGGTTTTTGACAGAGAGCAAAACGAGTTGTGTGGCCAACTTTTTCTACCTACTCCTTTGAAGGTTTTTCTTTTTAAGTATTTTCCTTCAAGTATTGTGTCCGATTGATTGAAAATTATCTTCTTTGATTTTTACTTTTTGCTTGCATGCAATTGAGTGCCTGTGGAAGGATATGGACATAACATTTTTGTTTGTTGCAGGGTTTAGTCCCCCGTGCTAAACTTTTGGTGACACTTGGAGGGACATTCTTCTTAGGATTTTGGCCGTTGATAGTCTTAACTGTGTCATTCTTTTCTGCCCTCTACCTTGTAAGCTTGCTTTCATGTCTCTGATGAACTAAATTATTTAATTTTGCAGACATTTCTCAGTAGCATGAATCAGTGCCAAATATGTTACTTTTCTGTTGCATGTGAAATATACTAGACAGCCGTTCTGTAGGATGAAGACATTGAAATGTTTAATCTCACTATTTATGTTCCAAAAACCCTCAGGTGGTAAGACCGTCATGGCCCTCAAGTGGGTGTAGTTCATCTTGGATATTAATTTGTGGAAATTGAATTTTTCTGTCGTCTGCCTGATCTATCCCACTTTTTCCACTAACCAACCAAAGAAAAGGAAGGCTATAGTTAAAGTTTAGACACAGGCTGAGTGTGTATTCCTGTTTACCATTATTCTGAACAGGGATCGCGAAATCTAGCTTATCTACTCATTTCACCTATAAGAAAGGGGAAAAACCTTCTGAGATGTTTTACCATAGCTAACAAGTCCTAATTTTTTCTGCTATTCTGTATGCGTAAGAATAGTCTATACCCCGTTTTGATGATTATATTTTACCATATAGTCATGATGGTTATCAACTCCTTTTCTACTTTCCCCTTAACAGTACTTTGGACCAGCATTCGTTCATGACGCAAGCAACACTCCGAGTGCACCACCGCAGTATATTGATCCGTATGCTCTCCTCGAAGATGAAAGGATATCTCAAGCAGCCCCTCTTGTAAATTGAATTATAGACATTATGCTTTTACATAAAGCTAATTAAAGACTTAAAATATAGCTTACTGTAGCATATTATTATAGTCTTTGTTAATTCTTTCCTTGTGTAAATCCTATAAGCAAACATTTGGGTCAATCCAAAATTAAGGGTAAGCTTAGAACAATTGATCTTCTCTTTTTTTGAATTTATTTGAAATTTTATAGCTGGTTCAACGTTTATGAAAATTCTTAGATTCGGATGATGGCAGCAACTCTTCATCTTGAGGTTAAATTTAAAAAAAAAAACGGAGATTGGAATCAGTTAGTCATTATATTGTAGAAATTATGTTGCATATCATTTCATTACTTATTAGTTATCATATAACTTTATAATAATATAATTTTTTTTAAAAGATATAACATAATATGTTGAATTTTTTAATTCATTGTGACTATCTTAATTAAGAGAATTTAATCATTATAGAATATATTTTCTTTGTTTATAAATATAAAAAATTAATTAAAATTCAATTCATTTGATCACTATAGTTTCACAAACATAATAATAAATTGTAATAAGTGGTATAATATTAATTACCGCTACAAAAATGGTGCAAATAAACATTGAAATTGTAATTTAGTTTTTGATATTCTTTTAGCAATTTTTTTTTTTTTTTAATTTTTAACAAAAAAGTTAAAATGTTTAATTGCATAACATAAGTATTATGTATATGATATATATATATATAGTATTGAGTAGGCACTGTTTATATTTTAGTAACTATTTTACATACTAAAAAGTCTTCTGTTTTTCATTTGAATACAGACA